CCGGGCGGCAAAGGGTTCAGAGACTTCATAACAGGCACCATGAAGATGGAAGGACCAAGAGTAGTAGTGGCAGTGATATATAACCCACCACCAAATGAAAGAAGACCCAGGCAAGAGTATGACAGAAACAACATGGCAGTTAACACTATCATCGAGAGAGCAGCCACTGCTGCCGGAGAAATCGATCCCATCTGCTCATAATGGGGAACTTTAATCACGGAAGGATAGACTGGGAAAACATGGAACCACATGGAGGTGAGGAAACATGGAGAGCGAAACTGTTGGAGATGACGACTAGAAACTTTTTAAGTCAGCATGTCAAGGGTTCCGCGAGAATAAGAGGCAATGATGAACCTGCAAGACTCGACCTAGTATTCACTCTGAACGATTCAGACATAAGGGTAATCAGTCTTGAAGCCCCCGTGGGTATGAGTGATCACAGTGTACTGTTGTTTGAGTATCTGGTCGAAGAAGGGTTAATGTACTCAAGGAAGGGACCAGAAAGCAAGAGGCTGGCATTCCAGTAGGGAAACTATAAGGAGATGAGAAAATTCCTAACTGAAATAGCTTGGGTAACAGAGCTCAGAGGAAAGACAGTTCAAAACATGATGGACTACATCACACAGAAGTGTAAGGAGGCAGCAGATAAGTTCGTCCCAGTCCAAAAGGAAAAAAAATTAAATGCAGATGAGAAACCCATGGTTTAATCAGATATGTGAGCTAGCAAAGCAACTAAGTAAAAGGGCGTGGAGAAACTATAGAAACAACAGAACACTAGAGAGCAGAGAAAGATACCAGAGTGCCAGGAATGAATACATCAGAGTGAGAAGAGCGGTAGAGAGGTAATATGAAAATAACATAGCAAGCAAGGCAAAGACTCAACCCAAACTACTGCATAGCCACACCAGGAGGAAAACAACAGTGAAGGAACTGGTAATGAAACTGATGATAAGGGCAGAAAGATTCACTACAAATGACAAGGAAGTGTGCGAGGAACTCGATAAGAAATTCCAGGAGGTCTTCACCTCAGAGCAAGAAGTCCTAGAGATAAGAGAGGGAACATCAAACCAGACACCACTCGAGAAGTTTGGGATTACCAGTAGGGAGGTGAGGAAGCATCTGCTAGATTTGGACGTGACAAAGGCTATAAGCCCGGATGGAATCTCACCATGGATTCTAATGGAAGGAGCAGAAGCTCTGTGCCTGCCACTCTCCATGGTGTACAACAAATCACTGGTAACAGGTCAACTGCCAAAAATTTGGAAGACGGCCAATGTAGTCCCAATATACAAGAAGAGTGATAGGCAGGAGGCACTGAACTACAGGCCAGTGTCCCTAACGTGCATTCCATGCAAGATGATTAAGATTGTGCGAAAAAAAGCTAGTAGACCATCTGGAACGAAAGAACTTTGTAACACATCATAAGCATGGGTTCAGAGATGGCAAATCATGCCTAACAGGTTTAATTGAGTTCTATGACCAGGCAACAAAAATCAGGCAAGAGAGAGAGGGCTGGGCAGACTGCATATTTCTGAACAGCCAGAAAGCTTTTGACACAGTACCACATAAGAGACTAGTGCACAAACTGGAGATGCAGGCAGGAGTAAAAGGGAAGGTACTCCACTGGATAAGGGAGTACCTAAGCAACAGGATACAGCGAGTCACCATGAGGGGTGAGGTCTCGGAATGGCGGGGAATCACCAGTGGAGTCCCACAGGGATCAGTCCTTGGACCTATACTGTTTTTGATATACGTAAATGATCTCCAAGAAGGAATTGACTGGTTCCTCTCAATGTTTGCTGATGACGCAAAAATTATGAGGAGGATCAAGACAGAGGATGATAGTATGAGGCTACAAGATGACTTAGACAAACTGAAGGAATGGTCCGACAAATGGCTACTAAAGTTCAACCCAAGTAAATGTAAGGTAATGAAACTAGGAGGAGGAACTAGGCCAGTCACTGGATACCGAATGGGAGATGAAGTCCTTCGCGAAACGGACAGCGAGAAAGATCTAGGAGTTGATATCACGCCAAACCTGTCTCCTGAAGCCCACCCACATCAAAAGAATAACATCAGCGGCCTATGCGAGGCTGGCTAACATCAGAACTGCTTTCAGAAACCTGTGTAAGGAGTCCTTCAGAACCTTGCAAGGCCAATCCTGGAGTATGCAGCTCCAGCATGGAGCCCATATCTAATTAAGCACAACACGGAGCTGGAAAAAGTTTAGAGGTGTGCCACTAGGCTAGTCCCAGAACTAAGAGGCATGAGTTATGAGGACAGACTACGTGACCTGCACCTCACGTCGCTGGAAGACAGAAGAGCTAGGGGGAGACATGATCAACACATACAAAATTCTCAGGGGAATTGACAGGGTGGACAGGGATGGATTATTTAACACGGGTGGTACGCACACAAGGAGACACAGGTGGAACCTAAGTACCCAAATAAGCCACAGAGACATTAGAAAGAAATTTTTCAGTGTCAGAGTAGTTAACAAATGGAAATGCATTAGGCAGTGATGTGGTGGAGGCTGACTCCATACACAGTTTCAAGTGTAGATATGATAGAGCCCAGTAGGCTCAGGAACCTGTACACCAGTTGATTGACAGTTGAGAAGCGGGACCAAAGATCCAAAGCTTAACCACCGCAAGCACAAGTAGGTGAGTACACACTCTTGAAACGCGGGACCAGAGAGAGAGAGAGAGAGAGAGAGAGAGAGAGCGCGCGCACACGCACGCACGCGAGTCAGCTGGGTCCAAGAAGCAAGGTTCCCCAATAGACAAGCACCAAGTCATGCACACACTCATATCCACACAAACAACGTCGTGCCATTTGTCAGTAATTGGCTCCCACTCTGACATTCAGTGGACCTTACGAGCAGTGCTCCAAGATTATCATCAGTAACGTGTGTCCAGATTATGATCATTTGGTGGCGTGTATAATATTATGTGGCGAGGCTATACCACGAGCTCTCGGCTCAGTGTTGATCATACCTGCATGATGTACCACACAATATATTAGTGGAGCTGAGGCTTATTATCAAGCAGAGTCTAATTGTTTCCATGTAAGGTATTTACTTATTTCAATGCCTCCCAAATTGCTCTACCAGCCTTCCTTTCCTCCTCCCACGCATCGCACGACCTCGTCAGAGATATCTTACCTGCAATCCTGAGAGATTCAGCAGGACTACACGATCCTGCTTTCACTCAATGTTCAAATCAGTGGGATGTTCTTGCAGCCCCAGCAACCATTATAGAGCCAACAAAACAACACAAACAGTCCGGCTGGGACCACCCTCTAGTGGAAAAAGTAGCTGATGCCATGCTCAGCGCCGCAACATCAGACAAGGAGAAAGCCCGCCTCAGAGCAGTGCCTGCCCCCCATGCAGGAGACTTCCTCCTGGCAGTACCCATGTCAGCAATGGACTGACATGGGTACCTAGATCCAGAATCCCTTCGTGTAGCAGTGGCCCTCCGCCTTGGTGCCCCAATTCACACTGAATACAAGTGTATTTGCAACAGGGTGGAAGCAGACCAATACGGACTGCATGGGTTGCATTGCGGAAGCACAAAGGGCTGGCATGCAAGACACAACGAGGTCAATGACATCATCAAGAGAAGCCTCGTCTCAGCTGGGTGCCCAGCGGAGAGAGAACCTCGCATCCTAGGGGTCCAAAACCCGGATTTCCCCGCACTTCGCCCTGATGGCATCACCATATACCCATGGAAGGAGGGTAGACAGTTGGTGTGGGACTACACATGTGTATCCACCCTGGCTGACACCTATGTACACTTCGGAGCTGATTAAGCAGGTGGGGCGGCCAACCACAGGGAAACAGGAAAATCACTCAAGTACAGGCGACTGGAAGGTCAACACCTCGTTGTTCCCATAGCGTCTGAGACGCATGGCCCCTGGGGCAAGAGTGCCTTGGGATTTCTCAAGGAATTGGGTTCCAAGCTCATTGACGTCACCAGAGACCCAAGGGCTTCCAGTTTTTTATTTCAGCATCTCAGTGTGGCGATCCAGAGGGGAAATGCTTGCTGCGTCCTCGGTTCCTGTCCAGAAGCGGAGGAGCTTCAAGAGATCCATAACCTTTAGACATTTGTCTTGTATGTTTTGTAACCTTTAAATACACAATAAAGAAAAGAAAAAAAAGGAAGGGGGTGGTAGGAGAAAAGCACACAGAAACTGTATTGGAGGGGACCTACATTCCCTCCAATGCGTTGTGTGGGGTTTCCTCCGAGGCTATGGGTCCCCCTTCTTCCAGCCAGAGGTGGTACTCCCTTCCCTTTTTTTTTTTTTTATTTCAATGGGTATTGTATTAGGCTATTTCATGATTGATTAAAAAATTGTTATATATTGCAAATATTATGTACCGGTATTTGCATCTAATAATTACACTTAGCATACTGTATTATATACTAATACATTACGTATTATACACTAATACATTATGTATTATACACCTAATATATTATATTAGTGTATAATAACCCATTATTACATTATAATGGGTTATTGTAACAAAACGGAGTTATCGGGTTGTAGCTCCCCTCCCCCGCCTTAGCGCTCTCTTGTATTTCCGTGACTATTTCCGGATAAGGGCACATTAGTACGACAGTTTGACGACGTTGGGAGACCTTAGGAGGACGACCCTGACGGCCATAACATGGACCGGACCACAACATGGTCCGGACCACAACATGGTCCGGACCACAACATGGTCCGGACCACAACATGGTCCGGACCACAACATGGTCCGGACCACAACATGGTCCGGACCACCTGTTCATGACAGACACCAGCAAGTCTGTTTATCACACAATTTCCTGTTCTGTTGCTGGTCTGAACTCACCAACTTCGATATCTAGCCGAGGGGCACCCCCCCCCCTTCAGGTGTAGACAATCGACACTGTCGTAGCATTGTGGTAGTGTAGACACGTTTAGGGAGGACGCTTGGAAGTGAGGCAGTCACAGCCTCGCTCCTGTGCCAGGTGAGGCCACTACGGGCTCTCCATAGCCCGTGCTACATGTAACTTTTTGTTCCCAGTAGCTGAATCTAAAACAACAGCCAGAGGGAGGTGGGGGTTGAGAGCAGTTACCAAGCAACGCACCACCAATATCTCGCATAAGAGCAAACATTAATATCCTCTTAAATAATTGTGCGAGAAAATTGGGTTAAATAAAGCAAGAACTTAAATGCAATCTAATAGTAACTTTGTCGGCAGGTGGACATGGATCCCCCGAGTCTACCAGATGGTCGAGGAGCAGCCATATTGTCGACCACATGTTGAGGCCTGTCCACTCACTCTACCACCTAGACTGGTAGACTGTCTATTGAGCTATTAATAATGATATATTAATAATCATTATTATTGAGCTAAGCACTTAATATATAATTTAATATATAGTTATGTATTGTATAAATATATTTATACAATATATAAACTACCTAAAACATAACTTAGGTATTCCAGTGATTATTAATACATTCCATAAGTTTTCTTAAAGTGAGGCTTCAGTTGTGACCAATGTTCAGTTACTGGCGCCACAGGTGCTAGGGCAACCCGTCCTCTTAAAAATAACGTCACTTTTGGCTCGTATGCGCGCTATGGCCAAATTTGGACGTAATTTGAAATGAAATCCACTCACAAAAGTGACGTTCTGTTCCGTTTTCTATTTGAGTCGTCCGGCTTACGCGCAGAGGTTATAAGAGGACACTTTAAATTAACGTTTTTCATAACGTTTTGAAACTTTATGAGAATTTCCTGCCCACCTAACCTATCAGAGGACCCTTAACTTACTGTTGTTGAAAAAAAATCCCAAATTTATTTTCATTTTTTTTCATTTTCAAATTACGTCCAAATTCGGCCATACGGGCAAACGGCCAAAAGCGACGTTCTTTTTAAGAGGACAGGTTGGTCAGCTGCTCTGTGTTACAGTTAGCAGGTATTTTAGTGCACTTGTGTCGTCATTGAGAGTCGTATAACTTTTTCTATTCAACTTGTCTACCAGAGGAGTGAGAGAGCCAGTTTTGCAGTGAGAAACTCCAAATTTCTAGGTAGACATTCAAGCAGTTTGTGGGAAACTGCAAATTGTCTAGAGTAACATGCTTGATACCTGCTTGTTACACATCTCATGTGTAACAATAATACACATACACATCTTATTAAAATGAGTGATAGAACTTCCTCTTAATCATGCATAAACACTTATTAATTCCAATCAGAACACTCCCATTCCAACTAGGTTCTTAAAGTCCAACTTTTTTCGATGATAATAATTTAATTCCCTCTACAGTCCTCCCAGCATCACACTTTTCGACCAGAACCACTCCAAGATATGTTACCTTGAGGTTACCTTGAGGTGATTTCGGGGCTTAGCGACCCCGCGGCCCGGTCGTCGACCGGTCCTCGGTCGTTGCTGGACTGGTCAACCAGGGTGTTGGACGTGGCTGCTCGCAGCCTGGCGTATGAGTCACAGCCTGGTTGATCAGGTATCCTTTGGAGGTGTTTGTCAAGTTCTCTCTTGAACACTGTGAGGGGTCTGCCAGTTATGCCCCTTATGTGTAGTGGAAGCGCGTTGAACAGTCTCTGGCCTCTGATGTTGTTAGAGTTCTCTCTCAGAGTACCTATTGCACCTCAGCTTTTCAACGGGGGTATTCTGCACATCCTGCCATGTCTTCTGGTCTCTTGTGATGTTATTTCTGTGTGCAGGTTTGGGACCAGCCCCACAATTATTTTCCATGTGTAAATTATTATGTATCTCTCCCGCCTGCGCTCAAGGGAGTACAGATTTAGGCTCTTTAGTCGGTCCCAGTAGTTTAGATGTTTTACTGAGTGGATTCTAACAGTAAAGGATCTCTGCACGCTCTCCAGGTCAGCAATTTCTCCAGCTTTGAAAGGGGCTGTCATTGTGCAGCAGTACTCCACTCTAGAGAGTACTACTAGCGTCTTGAAAAGTATCATCATCGGTATAGCATCTCTAGTGTGAAAAGTTCTTGTTATCCAACCTGTCATTTTTATTGCAGTTGTGACTGCTACTTTATTGTGTTCGTTAAATGTAAGGTAATGTTGACACAACTTTTTATAATTTTTACTGTAGGAAATAAAGTCTGGCCCTGGGCCAGGCTAGACTTGTGAGAGCTTGGTCCAACAGGCTGTTGCTTGGTGCGGCCCGCATACTATCAAATGCGCATTCATTACACCAACACCTGTATAAACCATAAGTATACAACATCTCCATACTGAACGTTAATATATAACAATTGTATAAACATATAACAATATAGTGGGATGGACAGGCAAGTTAACTCGTCCCAATTATCAGGAGTCATTAGGGGGTCCATATATTATCAGTCACTGTAAAGCGTGACACATTACAGTAGCAGCCGGTGGCAGCGGACAGTGTTATTAATGAACACTGTAGGGCTCGTCCAGCTGTAAACAGGATTATATTAAGGCTTAGTTTTGTATGGTGGGATTCCCCTGGGATTGGGCGCTCCTCATTTGTCAATGTTTAATGTCATTTGAACCAACCGTTCCTGCGCTTGTTTGCCTCGCCCAGCTGTGTACAGTGAGGCCACCTTGAGGTGAGGCCACCTTGAGGTGAGGCCACCTTGAGGTGAGGCCACCGTGAGGTGAGGCCACCGTGAGGTGAGGCCACCGTGAGGTGAGGCCACCGTGAGGTGAGGCCACCTTGAGGTGAGGCCACCGTGAGGTGAGGCCACCGTGAGGTGAGGCCACCGTGAGGTGAGGCCACCTAAACAAACATTTCTGTCGACATCAAGGGGCTCAAGACTTTCTCTTCTCTACACACAAGTCTGTCGAGTCTGGGCCCCGGACCGGGCTCGGGGAGTAGAAGAACTCTCGAAACCCTCTTTAGGTATGCTCCAGGTACATGGGGGCATAATTAGTTAACCTCTCTAAGTGTTCGCATTAGAGTCCTATCGTGGTCAAGTGGGTTAAGGCAGGTGTCTGAGAACCACCAGAACGAAGGTTCAAGTCTCTCCATTTCCTCAAAATGATTTTCTCATATAAAAATATATATCCTACATGAAAAGTGCTAATGACAGCAGTGAATGATTCACGAATACAGGTTAGCAGTTCTCAATAGAGCAAGTTCTCTCTCCATTTGTTAACCGGGCTGTGGTGGATATGCGGACCTGCGGGCCGCTCCAAGCAACAGCCTAGTGGACCAAACTCTCACAGGTCAAGCCTGGCCTCGGGCCGGGCTTGGGGAGTAGAAGAACTCCCAGAACCCCATCAACCAGGTATCAACCAGAACTTGATAAACATCTCCAAGGGGTGTCTTGGCCCATGCTTCATACCCCTGATTGGGAACAGCGGCGTCTTAACAGCCTGGTTACAGGGCTGTCTTAACAGCCTGGTTACAGGGCTGTCTTAACAGCCTGGTTACAGGGCTGTCTTAACAGCACTGTAGCCCAAGTCAAGGCTGGGTCCTCTACTAAGATGATGCAACTCATCCTCTCCAATACCACATCGCATTTTGACATCCCCTAAGGTAAAAAATTGACGTACTAAAATTAAGTTCATTGCGGCTCGCAAAATTGACATGATGATCCGTTTTCTATTTGTGGGTCCGGTCTTAGGTTAGGTTCGGGCAATTTAGTACTTCAGTTTAGTTATGTGTACTTTGGATAGGTCGGGCTGGGTAATGCACTCAGCCTCCACTAAAGTGCACGATTACCCTGAAATAGTTACGCACAAATTATTTATATAATTTGAAAAGGGGTTTGAACCAGTGAGTGATAGAGAAATTATCCACTGCCCAGCTCGTCCTCCTAAGGTTTCCCAACGTCAAAAAAAAAAAAACGGTCAACTTAAACTGCCCTTATCCTAACCTGCCAGAGGACCCAAAACAGAAAAGGGAACAGTACGTCACTTTCGCCAGCCGCTTCCATTTTCTAGTACGACAATTTTTGGTCTTAAGTAACGCATACGGTCGAAAAGTGACGTTCTTTGGTAGAGGACGGGTTGCTATGCTGAGAGATCTCTCATGAACACTATGGCAGCGTGGGCCCCTAGAATAGTGGGGCCCCATGTGCACTGCCTGGTGGACCAGACCTTCAGTCAGAAGATCTGGCCAGAGACTGAGCCGCAACGATATTGATCCACGGAACCATTTCAGGGTCAACTACGGTAAAGTCGAAATATTCCGTCCAGCGATGTTGGTGATTTAGCTGCATATCTAATTGTACGAATTGAACATTCTTGCCACGGGACTACCTGTTGTTTACCTGCTGATGGCTCTAGAGTGGGATTGCGGGAAGTGGTCCAGTTCCCTGGTGACACCAGAACATGGGAAACTGTTCATGGTCTCTCGGACCACTCGAGGCAGTTCCTGTTTTTACCCAACCACATCCACAGCTATTAGTTCAAGTCGTGTATTGTGCACCCCATACCCATCCCATGGGCCAAACCTGTCCTCAGGCGAGGCTCGTTAAAGTAGGGGCCCTTCCCCCCTCCCCCTCCAGAAGCATTCATAAATTTGTACGTACTGTGTATTAAAAATAGATTTGTTCTCATATAAGTTAATGTTGTTGTACATTAAATTTCCTGTGTACACTAAAGTTGTCAGACGCAGGTTAGGTTAGGTGTTTAGGTTCTGTTGGCGATTATTTGTATTTGAAGTACGTGGGTGAAGCATTTACAGCGGAGTCGTGTGTAAACCGTTTTTCATACATAAACACGGGGGGAGGGGGGTTGGGGGTTGGCGGGTGCATGGAATCACTTTTGGGTCTGTGTTTGGAGGACGGGCTGTTACAGTATACATTGACCTGATTCGAACACAGGTCGTTAGAGAAGCACTGTTCGAAAAATGTTCGATCATGATCAGTTGTGAGTTGTGTGAAAACCGTTTTTCATTCGTAAACAGAGGGTTTTGCGGCTGGTTTAACGAACATGTCGCCTTTGTTAAGGACGGGCTACGTGGGTGGTGGTGGTGGAAAGGGTTACAGAAGCACATATTGGGTTCAGGAACTGTATCCATAGTTCATTTAGCTAAGCAAATGACAATCTTGTGAAGTTAGTTACACAATGTATATATAAGTATATATATATTATATAAACAAAGCCACAAAGGCTGTGATGAGGGTTCGAATCTACGTTTGGGATGATCCCAGACGCACCTTAGTTGACTGCACCTTAGTCTTAGTCGACACTTATTCGGGTGCCATAGGCACAATCAGAGAACACTGTATAAACATCAGAGGTCCGCAGTTGTTCAATGTCCTCCCAGCGACTGTAAGAAATATTGCCGGAACAACCGTGGACATCTTCAAGAGAAAACTGGACGCTGTTTTCTAAGAGAAGTTCCGGATCAGCCGGGCTGTGGTGGGTATGTGGGCCTGCGGGTCGCTCCAAGCAACAGCCTGGTGGACCAAACTCTCACAAGTCGAGCTTGGCTTCAGGCCGGGCTTGGGGAGTAGAAGAACTCCCAGAACCCCATCAAGCAGGTATCAATCAGGTACTGCGCCACGACATGGTTAAAAGAATTGCAACCTGGAGTGCTGCTGCCCTCACGAGTATCCCGCAGCTTCTCCGAAGCACAAACCGGTGTTTCTCACAGTTCCCTCCCATGCACCCGGGCTCTGTCGACCAGATATTCTTCTACCTCTTAAAATATTAAGAGATAATAATTTTTCTACCTCTTAAGAGGTTGAATTTCTGGTCGACAGAGCCCGGGTGCATGACGGGAATTGTGTGAAACCCCGGCTTGTGCTTCGGAGAAGCTGCGGGATCCTCGTGAGGGCAGCAGCACTCCAGGTTGCAATTCTTTTAACCATGTCGTGGCGCAGTCGACTAAGGCGCGTCTGGGATCATCCCGGACGTAGGTTCGAACCCTCATGTCGGCCCTTGCGGATTTGTTCATTTGATACATCTCGCTATTGTGATTTTTGTGTATATATTATATACATATTGTCTTTATTTCACAGGTGGTTCAAGAAGCGGCCCACAGCAATATACAGTTGACATTTACGGTGAGTCAGTCACACAGTTACTTGTCCTGCTCCACACCACCCAACTGGGCGGGAACCTCAGTCGTGTGAAGGCTGCAGCTACAGTCACCAAACTTTAGACACTTGGCTAAACTTTCTGATTGTACACCATTTAGAATGAATTACACACTTCTTGGGCACCATTGGTGGTGTTATCTCTGAATTCCACGATTTTTCATATTCGATTACATAGTGAGGCAAAGTATGTGAATAGTTCTGCTGACAAAGTTTACATTTAGTCAAGTTGTAAACAAAGCCAATAGCCTACAACTACAACCAGAAACAATAACAACAATCACAATACGTCATCAATCACAATTACTCAAATCCACAACCCGTTATAGATGACTACAGAAGCTCCGCCCACAGTCATGGCCTTGGTCATGAAGAAGTGGCCTTGAACCTCGACCACAGTCTGAGCTGACCAGACCACACTCCTTTATCCACCAACCACAGCGAGGCCCCAAACTCATAATGAGCACCAAGGTGTGGTAGGGTTGGGGGGGGGGGGGGGGTCGGACTACAGCTCCAGGTCCCAGTCCGACGTGGACCACCTGGAAAAAGGAATTATCCCTCGCTGAACGGCTTCTTGGGCTCCGTTTTTTATGGGGCGTCGTTCCCGGGTTATTTGCTCTTGATATTGTTACTCTGTGTTTTGTTTTTGTTGTTAAGATCGTGAAAATATTTGCTTTTTATTTCTGTATGTGTTTGTCAGTCTATCTCGCAAGATTACTACAGGGGTCAAGCCTGGCCCCGGGTCAGGCTTGGGGAGTAGAAGAACTCTCAGAACCCTATCCAGGTACAATCCAGGTATGCGTGCGCGCACTATGTTGGTCCAAGATCTTCAGACACGTTTGTTTATACATATATATATATATATATATATATATATATATATATATATATATATATATATATATATATATAATAATGATAATAATGGTAGCAATCTTTCTTGTAAACATATGTTGTTAAATATGACCGAAAAGGTAAGATTAATAATTCTAACATGAATTTTCTCAATGTTTCTTATGTTTCTTTTCACTGTCAATGGTAATTGACAGTCACACAACTGTAACCTGTAAACACGCTAATCCTTCATACTTATACTCGCATTTGGGTGAGGTGATATGGTACAACAGTTTTGGGTGAGGTGAACAAAACTTTCAACACAAGACAGAACACGAAACAATGGGTATAAATTGGATATGAGAGCATAAAAATGGAAGTAACTGCAAAGGGCCTATTGGCCCATACTTCCTCTTGATGCTTCTATATTGGTTCGGAGTCTTGAAGTGGGTAGAATATAGTTGTGCATTAATTGGCTGTTGATTGCTGGTGTTGACATTTTGATGTGTAGTGCCTCGCAGATGTCGAACTGCCTGCTATCGCTGTATCTATCGATGATTTCTATGTTGTTTATTAAGATTTCTCTGGTGATGGTCTGGTTGTGAGAGGAGATTATATGTTCCTTTATGGAGCCCTGTTGTTTATGCATTGCTAATCACCTGGAAAGAGACGTTATTGTCTTGCCTATATACTGAGTTCTTTGGGGGCTTACAGTCCCCAAGTGGGCATTTGAAGGCATAGACGACGTTGGTTTCCTTCAAGGCGTTCTGCTTTGTGTCTGGAGAGTTTTTCATGAGTAGATTGGCCATTTTTTTGGTTTATAGTAAATCGTTAATTGTATTTTCTGATTTTTGTCTGTAGGGATAACGTTCCTATCAACAATATCTTTCAGGACCCTTTCCTCTGTTTTATGAGCTGTCAAAAAGAAGTTCCTGTAAAATAGTCTAATAGGGGGTACATGTGTTGTGTAAGTTGATTCTTCAGAGGTTGCATGGCGTTTTACCTTTCTTTTTATGATCTCTTCAAGAAAACCATTAGAGAAGCCGTTGTTGACTAGGACCTGCCTTACCCTACAGAGTTCTTCATCGATTTGCTTCCATCCTGAGCTGTGGCTGAGAGCACGGTCGACGTAAGCGTTGACAACACTCCTCTTGTACCTGTCTGGGCATTCACTATTAGCGTTGAGGCACATTCCTACGTTTGTTTCCTTAGTGTAGACTGCTGTGTGGAAGCCTCCGCTCCTTTCTGTGACTTACATCTAGAAAGGGCAGCTTTCCGTCTCGTAAGTGAAACTCAACACAGAATTCCGCTCAAATGCCTCCTTTAACTCCTGCAGACGTCTGACATCAGGTACCTGTGTAAAAATGTCGTCAACATACCTGCAGTATATGGCAGGTTTCAAGTCCATGTCAACTAAGACCTTCTGCTCGATGGTACCCATATAAAATTCGTAAACAGGACACTTAGGGGAGAACCCATGGCGACCCCATCTACTTGCTTATACATGTGCCCATCTGGGCTCAAGAAGGGTGCCTCTTTAGTACAAGCTTGGAGTAGTTTCCTTAGTATGTTTTCTGATATGTCAAGAGGAGTACAAGCCGGATCACGATACACACTGTCCACTATCATCCCGATTGTTTCATCCACAGGTACGATAGTAAACAGTGATTCTACATCCAACGAGGCTCTTATCCCTGTGGCCCGTGTTCCCCGCAGTAAATCAACAAATTCCTTTGGAGACTTCAGGCTGAAAGCACAAGGTACATAATGAGTCAGCAACCCGTTGAGTCGCTTAGCCAGTCTGTACGTGGGTGTGGGTATCTGGCTGATGATTGGCCGAAGTGGGTTTCCAGGCTGGGGTCGCCATTGGTTCTCCCCTAGATGTCCTGTTTGCGAACTTCTACATGGGTACCATCGAGCAGAAGGTCTTAGTTGACATGGACTTGAAACCTGGATATACTGCAGGTATGTTGACGACATTTTTACACAGGTACCTGATGTCAGACGTCTGCAGGAGTTAAAGGAGGCATTTGAGCGGAATTCTGTGCACGATGTGCAACACAACTCCGTTGAAGAGCAGAGGTGCAACAGGTACTCTGAGAGAGAACTATCAACATCAGAGGCCCGAGACTGTTCAACACGCTTCCGCTACACATAAGGGGCATAACTGGCCGACCCTTCATAGTGTTCAAAAATTGAACTCAATAAACAGCTCCAAAGGATACCTGAACAACCAGGCTGTGATTGATACATCAGACTGCTACCAGCCGCGTCCAACAGTCTGGTTGACCAGACCACCAAATATGAGCCCTGGTTAGAGACCGGGCCACGAGGACGTTGGTTCACGGAATATAACTAAAAGCTTATCGAAACTACATCTCCATAAACATCGAAGAAAGCCTTCATTCCTTGTCTGAAGAGTGTCTCAATGTGTTACTAATGTACTTGGACATTTATACAGCTGCCCTAGACTATATGAAGGGTTACACCGAGTGTGTCAAGAGCCAGGTGTGTGATACTAAGGTACCTTGACATTTATACAGCTGCCCTAGACTGAAGGGATACACCGTGTGTGTCAAGAGCCAGGTGTGTGATACTAAGGTACCTTGACATTTATACAGCTGCCCTAGACTGAAGGGATACACCGTGTGTCAAGAGCCAGGTGTGTGATATTAAGGTACCTTGACATTTATACAGCTGCCCTAGACTGAAGGGATACACCGTGTGTGTCAAGAGCCAGGTGTGTGAAACTAAGGTACCTGGACATTTATACAGCTGCCCTAGACTATAGTTTACCAGGAGGGGAGGTTCTGGGAGGAATTCTGCGTCATGCTAAACAAAATCCGTGTCACTGACCCACACACAGGGGGGGGGGGCAGAAAGCACGAGTACAGTGTGTTCTGAACAGTTTTGAACCGAGAACTACAAGTAGGGGGCAGCAGAAAACATTCACTAGACAGTGTGACACTGTAATTGTCAATTATACTGGCATTTCGGTCCTTATGGCAGGTCGCTGCAGGTAATGAGTTCCCGCCAACGGTGAGTATTCCAGTTGGAATCTGTGTACACGAGCTGGAACACTCACTCACTCACTCACTCACTCACTCACTCACTCACTCACTCACTCACTCACTCACTCACTCACTCACACTCTCTCCTCCCAACCCGTTCTCCTCCTAAAAGATCGTCGCATTTTGACGTATACTTTACCTAAGGCCAAAAATTGTCGTACTAGAAAATTGCAGTGTCTCGCGAAATTGACGTATTGCCTCGTTTTCTGTTTTGGGTCCTCTGGGAGGTTAGGATAAGGTTAGCACTTTAGTACGACAGTTTCATGCCTGTGGGAAACCTTAGGAGGACGAGCTGCTCCTTCACTATACTTGCGAGTGTTTAGTCACCAGGGACGTGAGTGTGAGTGGTATGAGACTCATAGTGCACTCTAATGACTTCATACACTCAACAATATTGGAAAATATTCCTGTGCTCTAGCAGTTTACTAGCGGAAGATATTCCTGTGCTCTAGCAGGAGTTTACTAGTGGAAAATATTCCTGTGCTCTAGCAGGAGTTTACTAGCGGAAGATATTCCTGTGCTCTAGCAGGAGTTTACTAGTGGAAAATATTCCTGTGCTCTAGCAGGAGTTTACTAGCGGAAGATATTCCTGTGCTCTAGCAGGAGTTTACTAGTGGAAGATATTCCTGTGCTCTAGCAGGAGTTTACTAGTGGAAGATATTCCTGTGCTCTAGCAGGAGTTTACTAGTGGAAGATATTCCTGTGCTCTAGCAGGAGTTTGCTGGTGGAGCCGACACTAGACAGTGTCTCATGTGTCCTCGTGACTAACTCTTCTCTGTGATGGAGATATTAGATGACCTCATAGATAGCTCCTGGTGATTCAAAGTTGCCAGTCTGGACTCTCAACTGTGAATAATGAGGATATCCTCATGCACATGAGGGTGAATAGTCACTGCAGAGCTCCCTCATACCGACAGGTGTGAGGGACTGCCTCATACCGATAGGTGTGAGGGACTGCCTCATACCGACAGGTGTGAGGGACTGCCTCATACCGACAGGTGTGAGGGACTGCCTCATACCGATAGGTGTGAGGGACTGCCTCATACCGACAGGCGTGAGGGA